TCAGTGGAAAGAAGAGCAGAAGCTGGAGGCTCACAGTGACTGGGTACGAGATGTGGCCTGGGCTCCATCCATAGGTTTGCCAACCAGCACCATTGCTAGCTGCTCACAGGTGAGGTTTGTGTGGAGTGACAGAGGCACTTGGTGTGCTCACTTCATGTGCTTCCTTCCCCTTTCTCTAGTGAAGGGGTTGTAGGGATAGAGCTGCTGTAACAGGTCTTCTTGGCAATGCTTTGTTCTATCTGGGTCTCTGTATAAGAGCCTTTGATTCCTGTTCCTCCCAAGCTCAGAAGACCAATAGAAGCATTTCTGGACAAATGTTTATGTGTGTGGGTGCCTGTGTACCAAAGACTGGCTTCTGTTTTGAAAATCATGAGCAGAATGGCCTCACTAGAAGGAAGACCTTCCAAATAATGTCATATTTTAGTGTTTTGGGATCAAATTTATTGAACTTCCTTCTAAAAATACTGTTTTCTAATAACTGGCATACTTAATCAGCTCTGATGTTCTCAGCCTTCATATTGACTGTTGTGTTCTTGCTGCTAATCTGTTAATGACTTTTTTTTAAAATCAAGAAGACTACCTAGTGAGCTCCTGCCATGTAACTGGAAAACAAAATCTCATTCTGGGGAAGTATTTTAGCTGATGCATATGTATTTTGGGGGCTCTTCTCTGGTATTCCCAAGTCATTATTCGTTGGTAGTTTTTCTTATCAGAGCTGTACTCCTGCCTTGCCTTACTGCATAGCAAGGAGACAGCCCCCTTGCTGTGCTGAGCACAAATCCCTGCAGACACATCAAGGGGTGGTGTGTGAGCTGTGATTTGGAAGTGTAGCTCCAAGGGCAGAGCAGGGTTATGTTTCCTGTGCCCAGCCAGCTTGGTCTCTGTGCTGTTACAGGATGGCCGAGTGTTTATCTGGACGTGTGATGATGCCTCTGGAAACTCCTGGTCCCCAAAGCTGCTGCACAAGTTCAATGATGTTGTCTGGCACGTGAGCTGGTCCATCACTGCCAATATCCTTGCAGTGTCTGGAGGAGACAACAAAGTGAGTACTGCTGCCTTGGCTTTTACCCTGTGCACTGTTTCCAGAGGAGCTGAGATGAGGCTGTTGTCACATGTTTAACACAAGGCTGTCGTGGAGTCTCCTTTGCTGCCACGGGGACATTTTTTATTCTGATTAATCAACAGAGCAGGAAGACCCTAACCTTTGGAAAACTACTTGCATTACATTCTGAATCCTTTCTGCAGGGTGGAAATGCAGGCTGAACTTGATTTTGTGGGGTACTGAGAATTCATATACTCTGCTCATTTGACTGCAGGCTATCACCATACCCATGCTGTGGTAGCTGCAAGAAAACGGGAAACAGGGTGTGTTTAAAGCTGAAAGGTGTGTCTGCTCTGTTTTTGAGGTGACACTGTGGAAGGAGTCGGTGGACGGACTGTGGGCGTGTATCAGCGATGTGAACAAGGGCCAAGGAGGGGTGTCTGCTGTGACAGAAGGGCAGCAGAACGAGCAGTGATGCACTGTGGAACACTCCAGCTGCAGCAAGTGATCACTGTCCCTGATTTGCTATGTGTCTTTAGCTGGATGAGAACTGATTTTATCTAAACTGGACATGAACATGGGAAACAATTATCCAATTTTATGAGCACTCTATTACTGGGAGGCTACAATATGTTGATAATCAGCCTTAATTGACATTCCCTTAAATGTAAACAGTATAGCCAAGTACTGTGCCTGATACTACTCCTTGATACTGTAGGAATTATTCCCTGCTTTTCTGGTTTAGTGGTCAAGTTTGATTGGATGTGCTGTGGTCAGAGTTCACGCACTTGAACAGAACAGGGGGAAACTCTCAAAACAATGAGGTGTGAACTCCTTCATGCAAGGGGGAAAATACTCTGTGCCCTCAAAGACCAAACTTTGTTTCAAGTGAGGGAAAGAGCTGGTGGCGTTCTCGGGTTAGCTGATGGTGTGCTAGCTAGCTCTGCTGGTAACAGTGATGTTGTACTTGTGTCGTTCTGAAAATAATGTGCTTGGCCAGGTGAAAGTCTTTTTGCTTTCTTGAAGATGAAAAGGAGTAGTGGAATGCATATGTCTTCTGCTTTACAATAATCTCAAACTGGGTTATTTAACCAACATCAATACATAAAACCGTGGTTTGAAGATTTATTTTTTTTAGTCACACTTCTTTACTGTACCTCAGTTGTTTGGATTTTTTTTTGTTGAGATACCAACAGAATAAAATCCTATTGGTTAAAACCTGGTGTGCTGTATTAAATAATCTTTTCATGGCAGTCTGCAGTCTGTCTTCAGCCAGGCCACAGTGACATCTTCCCATTCATGTAATTAGCTTTGCAAGAGCTTGGTGTTTTTGGTGGGGTTTTTTTGATGTAATGGTACATCACGAGACAAGGCTTTACAAACCGATTGCTCTTCCTTTGGTCTTGGCAGTTCCCAGGGAGAACGTAAGCAGTGCCATCTTCCCTTTTCTGCTCTTACAACAGCTTTACTTGTCATAAGGGAAGAAAGAAGGACATGAACCCATTCCCACACCTTGAAGTTCGTTTTAAAACCGACGTTAGCCATGTTTTATGAGAAGCTCTGGAAAAGCGACAGTATTTATTACAGTTCATTAGAGTTTATTACAGTTTATTACATTTATTAGAGCTCCGCCTACCCCACCGCCCCTCAGGCACAGCCCCGCCCTGGGCCGGCCCTTGCCGCTGATTGGCCAGCGGGGCGCGGCGCCGGCCGTGATTGGCTGTGCCGGAA